TTTACACAAAAATTGATAGAGAATTTGTATCTTTTCTTAATTTAATTTGCTATCTTTTTTGTAAAGTACTTGTTCAGTATATTAATTAATATTTCTATGCGATATAATCTTATTTTCTTTTCTTCTGCTTTTTTCTTCTTACTCTCTTTCTCTCTTCATCACTTTCGACACTTTGGGGTCAGCGCTAATTAGCTTGCAAGTCGTAGGGTGATTATCATCTTTCAGGATCAGAAGGTCTGAAGAGGAAGAACGCTTTGCGAGCGATCTGCGAAAAAGCAAGAAGATTTTTCCAATGTGCAATTAATTTCGATTGCTTTATAGCATTTTTTAAAAATATTATTCGTTCCTTTGCGCCATTCTATAAAAAGATAGTTTTTTCCTCTGATTGTTGAATCTTTTACAACACAATCTTATTTCAGTATTTAATTTAAATAAGTAATTAACGAGATGATAGAAAAATATATACTATGCTACAATGGTAAAATCATGTTTTACTTGTAATAAGATATAACTTATCTTTTTCATGGATTAAATAATAAATTATTGTTGTGAAATCAAAGATAATAATTGCGACATAATTTTTTATCCTTCTTTATTTGAACTTGGGATTTTTCAAATCAAATCCCATAGATGTGGCGCAAAGGAGCTACGAGCTTGCGTATTTTTGAGAAACCTGTATAACTTGTATTATAGTTACATATCAAGTATCTTAAAATGACTTTTTCAAAAAAATACAAGTAAACGCCAGCTCGAGTCGTAGACGATCCGAATCGCTATTTCTGAAGTGTCTTCTCTCGTAGGAAGCAGTTCAAACAACGCTTTGGGGTAGTCCTGGCATTTATGGCTACACATAACGGATTGACCAGATGGCAAGACTTTCTTCGAGTAGATGAGAATATGTCGCTACCGGAGAATCATTTCAGTAAATTGTATCCTCGTGCTATCGACGAAGTGTGGTATAAACGAGCGGTCGAGCAGTACTACATAAATGAGGACAGTTTCGTTTTTTCTGTACCGCTCGAAAAGAAGGGTGCCAACAACTCTACTTTAGTCACTGCCAGTCGTGCTGTATTTATTGGTAAGTTAATAATCGATATTCAAACTGCCATCAAAATAGAAGAGGAATATTTCCTTCCAATTCCGAAATATTAAAATCAATGAGCTTAAGATAAGCGAAAGAAAATAAGAAAGACGAATAAGTCTAATTGAGAACTTAACTTATTTTTTTTTTAATTTCCTAAATACTGATAGTTGAGATAGAAACAAATCGTCCAAAATTACATAGAATCAATATAATTCATAATATTTACAAGATCCATATTTGAAACATCTTTTAAGTAAGTAATTATTGTTAGCTCCAACATTAGCTTAAATTTAATAATTTAATGACTTTAATGAGATGGAAAGAACTTAGTAAGTCAGATAACTTGCTTTAAATACAAATGATACGTATATATAATGATATGACAAGATATTAAATCTGTAAAAATAAATTTGCAGAAAACGCGAAGGGAAAGGCGCCGGCCATGGTGGTCGGCTTTCAATTCCAGCACACTGCCTTGCAAGCGCTTTTCCAGAACATAACATTTAACTGCGATGGTAATTGCCATAAACACTGCGGCGACAAAGTCTGGGAATGTTATCTCATTGACAATAACGGCTACATAATCGCCGCCGAGGACGAGACAAATGCTGGTAAATTTTTTGGTGATGTCAAAGGTCCGATAATGAGCAGCTTAGTCAAGGATGGTGTCTTCGAGAAGATAAGGATCTTTGATTATCAAGCGGTTTGCTTCAAAAGTTCACAAACCAACAACGCCGGCAATATTCTTCTTACTGTGAGCACTTTCAATTGCAATATACTATTAAATGTCAAGAATGCTAGTCAAAGGAAAAGCTGAGCTATCTCTTGTTTTGTATATATATATATTTGCTATAACAATCATTAATTTTATTTAAAAAATTTTTAAGAGATCTTAATTACTTTTGCTAATGTAAGAATTAGATAATATACACATACGTCTCTTTTTTCCTTTTTCAATGAAGAAATATAAACGACAGATAAATCTTAACAGCAAATATTATTAAGATATCATAAAATTTCTAATTATATATGTTACAATTCTGTTAATTTAAAAATTAAATGTTATGTTGCAGCCATGGAAGCATTTGCAAACAGCACTGTCGTGGATGATCAGTCAAGCTGCTTGGGCTTGGGCAAGAACGGGCATATTGGATTATGAAAACGCGGAAGCATATAGCTATGTTAGCGATGATGAATCAGCCGTTCACAGTGATGATCACGAGAGTGAAGAGAAACTTCCGCCAATCACTGACAGAGACGATAGATTAAACTTTGATCAAGATGTTGTGATCAATCGTACACGCCCGGAAGTGTGCGATCAAGAGGTAAACTTCAATTTAAAAGATACATAAATACTAAATAGGTACTAAAATTATTGATTATATAATTATAATGTATATTTACTAAAGAAAAATTGATTCTAAGTTGATCAGGAAAACGAGTGACGAGATACATTGTAAATAACTAATATTATTACTTCTAAGATAATTTTTCTAATAATTAGAGTATTTCTAAGTAAATTATTTTGATATAAGCTGCTATCTTCCTAATCTTAACTTGATTTTTTTCATATTTTGATGTCTATGCATTGAATCTGTAGATATACTTGTACCTGCGAAACACTTCGTTTGACTCATACGACATGGACATGGATTGCGAGCATAGATGGTACATGGTACAGTCAGTGGCTTATAGCAATATGCTGTTGGTGGTGGTGGATACCAATTGTGGAGACACGACGTCGCCGAAATTGGAGGTCAAGAGCGAGGAGGTGATCTACGAGAATAATACGCTGGTTTGTCAGAAGGCACTCACTGGTCTCAAGCGAAAACGGCCACAGTCTTGTATACGTTCGAATCCTCGCGAGAGCGACATCAAGGATCAGTGCGGTTTGGCGACAAGCGCCAAGACGAACTTGTTCCTCTTGATGTTGCTGCTGATATGCGTACTGGCCGAAAAGAGCACCTTCTTCTTTGATTAAAATCGACCTGATTTTGTAATTAACAATTGGTGTCAAACTAATCAACAATGAAATGATATGCCGCGAATTGAAACTTTCGCCTGATGGAGCGTACTGTGTGGACATTTGTACATCCAGTTGTCTTGTCCGACGATCAGGATTGTTACATAGCACATATTTAAACTATTTTCTATTTATTTGTTAATTTCTGTAATTAATGAATTTTTTCTGCACGAGTTAGGATTCATATAATTATATTTAATTTGAAAACAAGAGAAAATCTGAGTAAATGAAGAATTTAGTAAGAGAGAAATAGTGAAAGTAAACTATAACTCTTTCTCTCTTTCTAAAATATCTTTTAGATAAAACTTTTTTTATTTTCTCTTCAATATAACAATCCTGATCAGGAGTACTTTGAGATATTTTGTGCTCTCTACCTCTCATTATTGCGATCTTGTTACTATAAATACAATCGCAGTCAAGTTCTAGACGAATTAATATGCTATTCCCAATCTCCCTCCCTACCCGGTACATCCCGGTACAGTTTCTATGCGATCAATCAAATGTGGCGAACGCAATTGATATCAAAATGTGTGCTAAGATACAAAATTGTCCTCCATCGTCATTGATCGTCAAATCAGATCAGATAATCAGAATTAAAACGCTTAGCGTAGGATCGTTCGCTAACATATTTTCGATCATAAAATATAATAGAAAAATAAATGCGATTCAGTAAATGATTTTTCTAAATGCGTTTTATTATATTAAAGAAGATTGAATTAAAAAAAATCGACAGAAGTCTGTCTTTTACTTTAAGTATTCTACTTCGGATAAATTTCTATTAATTATTTTTAATTTGTATCCATTTTTTTTTAAATATTTTGCACTCGAATTGAAAATAAGCGATTAGATCCAAAACAAGAAATAAAAAATATACTACTAGGCATCATGAATGTCTTAATACACAAAGTTACATACATTTACGATGTATTTTTATATTAAGCAATTATGATGCAATTATCTGGATATAAAACTGAATATGTCTCAAATATGCATAACTGTCTGGCATTTTTAGCATCGAGTATATTATATAAATATATAAAAGTCAAAATGGTTTTTCAAATACATCTGATGTATTATTAGAAGAATTTGTCTTTTTTGAAAAAATTAGAAAACAAACTTTACTGAATATCAGGATCCGTTCCGAAGATCAAAGTGTCTCAACCGACTTTGATCATATGTAGATAGGACAATTGAATGGTACAAGGAAGCTCCAAGTATTCTGAGTCGATCTAGTCAGTTTAAATGCTAACTCATTGAGACGTAGATTTTTCTAGACGTCGGAGCAAGGTTGTGCACTACAATGTTCACAAATACACTACGATACATTCGCTTTGTACTATAAACCGATAGTGATGCGGGGTGGCGACGCGTTGTTCAACATCTACAGACCATTACAAAATGTTAATTTTGTATCGCTATATTATATTGAGATGTGTGTATGTATGTGTGTAAAAAAGTGTGTGCCTTTGGACACGCGGTTAAGACAAAAAGAAAAAGAAAAAAAAGAGGAATATGAGATCTTGTTGTATGTTTATTGAATAAATTACCGAACGTTCTATATTACCGCTGAACTCCAATTCTCGGATGGTGGCCTCGTCGCGCGAACGAGTTCCGTTCGGGGAACGGGGGATGTTGTTTGTATTACATAGAGTTTATTACTATTTGCTATGTACAACGGCTTGCCTATGTAAAACAAGAACGTTTTCGTATCAAAATGACAACTTTTCAAGAGAAGACTGAACTTTACTTAAACCTCAATTATGCCTCTAAATATTTCACTATTCCCTTCACTTTTTGTATTCATACATGTTCTGTTCTGTTTTCCAGCTTTTTGCCGTCTTTCCACTCTGCGTATACTCCTGAAAGTTCTAAGAGTTCTGCGGCCTGTAACACTCTCGATTGTAATTCTTTTTATTTCCCCCTTTTTTAGAAGTATATTAGATGTTGGTAAAAAAAGACACCATCAATATTTTCGTTAAAAATGATAAAAATTTAAATTTAAAAAAGTTTTGAAGCTTGAACTCTCTACTTTGAATAGTTACTATATATATATTTTTTTTAATTTTTCTGAGTTTTGTAATTTTTATGTATAGGTATATAGAAAAACTACGAACTGAAAAAAAAATGAATTTTCTTTTTATTTTGTAGGTCTGTGGCATGTTCAAAAAAATTTTTATACAGATTTTCGACTATCTATCGTGAAAGCTTAAAGCTTCTTCTACAAAATTATTTTATAAAAATGTTTCTATGATTTTTTTCTTCTTGAATTATTCGCGGATTAAGTAAAAAGAAACATTCTGATTTTATTACTCGTAACTCCATTAAAAATACTGATTCTTAAAGCTGAAACGTTGCTCTATCAAGTGGTGTAATTGTTAATTTTTTTAAAAATAGAATATATGGGTTGCTAAAAGTCTTTACTTGTTAAGGAATATTTTCCCTAACCTAATAGTAATACATATTGATATTGATTATAATGTGCCAGCAATTTTTTAATCTTATATTTAATCTTTCGTCTGTTAATTTCATTTATTATCTTTCATCTTTATCTTTAATCTTTCAAAAGTGAGTAGCACTCCAAGATATTTCTTCACGATTTGAATTTAGCGCTACTTTGTCAGTAGTCACATGACTATTTAGGACTGCACAATAAAAGGAACAGAGAACAGAAAATAAGAATTTCAACCTATCAGGAACTGTGTATTCCACATTATATGATTTCTGATAGAAGGTTGAAATTCTTATTCTCTATTCCCTGTTCCTTTTATTATGTGAAGCCCCTTTTAGTTCTAACTCAAGGTCTGTTTTCTATACTAGTGTACACTTTTGAAACTGAAGCGGGGAGCACAGACTCTTGCATAACGCATAACACATAAAGCATAAGAAATTCAAACAATCATAGTGCTTTATTTCATAAAAGGAAGGAAAAGAAGAACTTTGACGGTTCAATTTCTTATGCATTACCTGTTATATGTTATGCAAGAGCCTGTGCTCCCACTTTAAAGTAAGATAGATGTACTTTGATATTTGTTTAAAGCGAGAAAGAGAGAGTCTAGAACAGTCTAGTGCAGGTACAGAAAGCAGACCACCAGATGTCGTTGGAACGGGACGCATCTTTATAAGGGGCCGGGGGGGAGGGAGAGTTGAGTTCCCCTCTCGACCTCATGGTGTAAGCGAATCGAAGCGAATGAAAGCGAGTTCTGGCGGATTTAAACGACACATGTATACTGAAATATAGTTGTGTACAGTTGTCAGTATAAGCCACTACCCATGGTCTTCGTTTAATTCCGTACCAAGTGTTTTATCCAGTCTCATCCGATTTTAACGAGAGTAGAATCCGTAGAAATGGCCATGCAGCCATTCAAGAAGCGCGTCTGTTATTACTATGATAGTAAGTACTAAAAGGGCTGTTGTAAAACCACAGAAATATATCTTGGAACCTTGTCGAAATATGTTGCACCTCTCACGTTTATACTTCTATTTCATCTCGCTTGACATTTGGCCGCTAATCAGCCTCTTTTCCGCTTGATAAATGACAAATAATAAGAAGCACGATTATCTCGACGCAGTAAACTGAGATTTGCATGCTCATTACGTTTGATAATACGATTTTCGCATGGTTAAGCCGACAGACTCTCAACCGTGCTATCGCGCGACTGTAGCGTCAGCCGTTCTTGGTTACATAGCTATTATGTATCTGTATATCCAAGTGTAATTACAATAAACTATGATAATACAGTTATTTTTCCAATATATCTTACATATTTCCAAAAATATTTTCTGTATTGAATCGAATAATTTAATCAACATAATGGAAAGTAATATAGTTTTTGTAGAAAGTGGCGAAAGATTCTCAAATGTATTCCAGTATACTGTAATCTTCACTGAAACACATCCATTGATGATAATGAAAAATTTGATACTTTTTATATATTGTGCTTTGATTTATTTAAGCATGTTTATTTCAATTTAACCAGGTGATATTGGAAATTATTATTATGGTCAAGGACATCCTATGAAGCCACATCGTATACGAATGACGCACAATCTACTCTTGAATTATGGTCTTTATAGAAAGATGGAAATATATGTAAATACATTTTTATAATTATCTTCCATTTATTCATCTTTTACTTGTTTATAGTTTTCTATCAAAATACATTTATTTAGAATGTGATTATTATAATGTATTTACATTTTATTGTCTAGCGACCTCATAAAGCTACAGCAGAAGAAATGACAAAATTTCATAGCGATGACTACATCAGATTTTTGAGATCAATACGACCAGACAATATGGGAGAATACAATAAACAAATGCAACGATGTAAGACATTATTGTTGAATAATAATGATTGATTAAAATGATGTTTTTTTGAAACATTTTAATATTTCTTTTTTTGTGGGACAGTTAATGTAGGAGAAGACTGCCCTGTTTTCGATGGTTTGTACGAATTTTGTCAATTATCAGCTGGTGGATCTGTAGCCGCTGCTGTTAAACTCAACAAACAAGCCTCAGAAATTTGTATCAATTGGGGTGGTGGCCTACATCATGCAAAGAAGAGCGAAGCTTCTGGTTTTTGCTATGTAAATGATATTGTACTTGGGATCTTGGAATTGCTAAAATACCATCAGAGAGTTTTATATATCGACATTGACGTTCATCATGGCGATGGTGTAGAGGAAGCTTTTTATACAACGGATAGAGTAATGACGGTATCATTTCATAAATATGGCGAATATTTCCCTGGAACAGGAGATCTTCGCGATATGGGAGCAGGAAAGGTAAAACAAGTTATTAAAATATTGTAATAATATAGTATCTATAGTATTACTTATCTGAAATATTAACTCATTATTAGTATATATGGTTTCTTTTTGTCATTTCTAACAGGGAAAGTACTACGCAGTTAATATACCTTTAAGGGATGGTATGGATGATGAAAGTTATGAATCGATATTCGTTCCTATCATCTCTAAAGTGATGGAGACATTTCAACCTTCTGCTGTTGTTTTACAGTGTGGAGCAGACTCATTAACAGGTAAGATTTTTTTTTCAAATTATATGTTACAATAAAATTACATAATTTTCAATGCAAATATTAATCATTATGTAGGTGATCGATTGGGATGCTTTAATTTAACTGTGAGAGGCCATGGTAAATGCGTAGAGTTTGTGAAGAGATATAATTTACCTTTCTTGATGGTGGGAGGTGGTGGTTATACTATCAGAAATGTATCCAGATGTTGGACATATGAAACATCGGTGGCTCTCGGATGTGAAATCGCTAACGAGCTTCCATATAACGATTACTTTGAATATTTTGGCCCTGACTTTAAATTGCATATTAGTCCTTCAAATATGACAAATCAAAACACTTCCGAATATCTCGATAAAATTAAGTAAGTTCTGATTTTCATTTCTATGTGTAAGTTGTTTTTATACAATGTTTTTAATATAGAGGAAAGGGCCCCATTATGAGATACCGAGTATAGACAGAATTAAAAAAATAATAGGTCATTTTGAAGGGAATTTAATAAGCTTTAAGATAATGTTATGTAAAATTTCAAATTCTATTTTTTTTTTTTAATTAAAGAAATGTAAAAAGGGAGCAAATTACAAAGTCAAAAAATTGTGCTCCTAATATGAGATGCTTCGAGAAATAGATAATAAAATGCAAAGTACATCAGTATTGCAATTAAAAAATTTTATTTAATGTTTCTAAAATACAAACAGCCAGTATATGCGGAAAATGAGAATGCAATGGATTATATTCAGAATTCGTCTTCAGGTAATTGGAACTAAGCATCTCAGAAATAGGCACTCGATGATCATTCCAGTTGTCCTTGTTATTATTGTACAGTAACATTTATACTTTAACAATGATTTTCATAGGATATGACATAGGTTATTTCATATTAGAAATACCCTAGGTATCTCATTACAATTTCCATGCCTTATAGTTTTACGATCTGACTCTTGTAATTAAACAATTCAACATATCCCGTATTTTTCTATTAGTATGATCTTACTCTATCACTATATGAAGAATTTATTGCCAAATATTTACTTATTAAATAATAAATAAGTTTTAAAGGCTCATCTCATCAAAGAAACTCGAAGGCACATCCAAATTTTAAAATCTTTTTTTACAATGATTTACAGGCATGATCTAATAATGAATTTTCCACTAAATAGTTCTCAATTTAAGAGCAATAAATTCATAGTGAAACCAATAGATAGCGTTTATTAGTTTAGCAGAAACGCCGCTATCTTATATTAGTCGCCTATCTCATAATATAGGGGGTTTTCCTCTAATACTAACAAACTAATTCGTTGGCTTTTATCATAGAACAAGGTTGTTTGAAAACCTGAGAATGTTACCTCATGCACCTGGCGTACAAGTTCAGGCAATACCAGAGGATGGTGCCGTTATTGAAGATTCAGAAATTGAAGAGAAGATGAATCTTGATGAAAGACTGCCTCAACGTGATTTAGATAAGAGGATACAACATGAGAATGAATATAGTGATAGTGAAGATGAAGGTGAAGGTGGGCGAAGAGATAACAGATCATACAAGGTGGTGACCTTTAACTTTTTTACTAATCTCTATACTTGATCGATTAAAAAAAGTGTATTATTTGCATTATTTGCATTATACATAGATATTGAGTTTTGACATTTCTTTATATTAAAGGGATCTACGAAGCGACTGCGTTTGGAAAAAGGTCAAGAAATGGATATGCGTATTATGCACATTAATTCAAAGAAAGAAGATGATATGAAATCAGACCTGAGAGGTATTACATTAATTTTTTATTTTATTTTTGCAAATTAATATTCAGACCAAACTTCCAATTTGAGCCCCGGAACTAAAAACATAAAGCTATCGACGCAAAAAATTCAATGTAAGATTTTGGAGACTGTAAAGTATTGATAAACGTCATTCAGATGCATATCAACATTATACAGTCTTCGAAATCTTACCCACATTGAATCTTTTTGCGTCGATGGTTTTGCGTTTTGACTCCGAAGCTTAAATTAAACAAGCTTGATTTAGAAATATAATAATTATATAAATATTTCTATTTAACTAGAAAATGAAAAGGATGAGAAAGTAAATTTCCTAAATGAAGAAATAAGAAAAGAGGGTGGAATTAATATCTGATAAGTGACTGCTACAGAATTTGCATATCTGCACAAGTACAAAAGTCCCTATTTAAAAATTTAGATAAGTTTAGATTATTTAAATGAAGAAATAATAGAACTCTTCATGGGATCGTTATTGTGCTGCATATTGAAGCCTCTTCAGATAGCGATATCATGTGTGTGCAATCTGCTTAGGCCTGGATGAAGATAAGGTATATGGAATCCAAATATAGAAAGAAATATGTGTACATCAATGACGAGAATCTTTTCCATGATTCTTAAAGATTAAGAGAAATTATTAACATATGAATTTTGTATATTACTGTATTTGTACTTTTGTATTTAATGAAATAAGTAAAGTTGTTTTACATCACAGTTAAGATAAAAAATAAATACAAAATTCCATATGTTGATCAGCAAATTCGGCGAATATATGTGTGTGTGTGTGTGTGTGTGTGTGTGTGTGTGTGCGCGCGCGTGCGTGCGCGTGTGTGTATACATATATAAAATTAAATTAGTCTGTCTTATCAAGTGAGAGGAATGTCATCTCGATCAAATATAAATGAGAATGTGTTAGTATTACTACATATATTACATATATTTGATTCTGTGTCCTGTACAATGCCTATGTAAAACAAATCCTATATACAATCTTTTATATCAAAATGATGATGCTAGAATGAATTAACATTACTTTGATTGTGACTCCAATTTTTTTATTACTTCTAACAGAGTTTCTATCTGTACGTGATTATACAATCTGTCCTCCAATTCCTCTAGAGCTACTCCACCTTGCATAAATTCTATCAAGTTGTTGAAAGTCCCATTTTGGCCTAGCCTATGGTCAGTCACACGATTCTGATTATAATTGTATGTCCTGATCTTCTCATTCCTGAATCCCATTCCCATTTGCTTTTGCCGTAATTTACTCGTGAACGACGTTTGCTTATTCAATTGCTGTTCATACAGGATACTCCTCAGTTTGTCCATCGCCATTTTTTTATTCGACCCTTGTGATCTATGTACCTGACAGGTAACGCTTAACCCACTTGGCAAATGCGTTATCCTCACTGCAGAGTCCGTAGTGTTCACGTGTTGACCACCTGCACCAGACGCTCTTTTTGTGTCTATTTTTAGATCATTCTCATTAATCATAATCTGTATTTCTGATGGCACTGGCAGAATAGCCACTGAGGCAGTACTAGTATGTACTCTGCCTGATTTTTCTGTAGCTGGTATCCGTTGTACTCTGTGTACACCACCCTCATGTTGAAACTTGTTGATTTGATCACCAGAAATCATAATACTGGCATGTCTAATACCCTTATCAGCCATCTGTATGTCGATCACTTCATGATCCAAATCTAAATACTTGGCATAACCTATGTACATATCATACAAGTCTTTGACAAACAGCATTGCTTCCTTACCACCAACACCTGCCGTTATTTCAATAATGATGTTACTGTAAAAATCTTTATACATGGTTGTCAGTATCATGTGCAACAATCTTTCATCAAGTTCATTTAATTGTTCTTTGTACAACATTGTTTCTTCTTCTGCTAATTTTTTTATCTCTACATCTTGTTGCCCTGTAAAAAGAAATTTTCGTTGTAAACTAAAATAAATAATGTAAGTTGTCATATTGATTACTCCATTTACCTAAATCATGCAAATTTTGAATATTTTCCACAAGTTGTACTCTTTCATTAAATAAACTACCGGAAGCATTTAAATCGACAAAATCGATAAAGTTATTACTTTGCCAGGACTTGTTTCTGTACTCATTCATGAGATAATCTAAAAACTTTTTAGTTTTGTCATCTAAAATCTTTAATTTCGCGTGTGCATTGCAAAAACTTCTCGAAGTCCAAATCAGGTTAGTTAACGACCAAGTAGGTAGCTCGTTAAGCTTTAGCCTATTTACGAGTGTCGAATACCAGCAACTATCGAATTTGCATCTCCGAACTAGTAAAGACATTCTGCGAATCCGTATAACAATACAATAATACAACTGATTTTGTCGGCAGGATAAAGAACACATGCGCGAGCACCTGTTCTTTTTCGAAGAAAGTTCTGAACCTGAACTAGTGTGAAGAACCGGTGCAATAAGTTGGAGTAAAACAAACTATATTCGTTTCACTCCAACTTATTATTGTATCAGTGCAGTATATCACCAGTTTAGAAATTTCCTTTGAAAAAGAAGAGTCTCTAAGTAATAAATTGTCCAGTAATTCTATCTAAATTTGTCTCTTTCTCTCTCCCCCCCCCCTTATATTTCTCATACATCATTATTTCAAGATGTCTTCCATTTACACAAATTGACACATATATATGTCGTTCTACCTTTCTTTGTATTCCATGAATATAACAAAGACAAAGACAGAATGATACTTGTGTCGATTTGTATTAATAAAAAATATCTATTTATATTTGAAATTAAAATTTAAAAAGAAATACACGCTACACAAAATATATACACATGTATCTATGAAATATTTGTACAACAATAAGTCATAAAATATTACATTGTGAGCTTCGAAATTTTAACTTGACTATATATATATCGTTAACATTTTATCGATAATGTAATAAGCTAGAGAGAAAGAGAGAGAGAGAGAGAGAGAGAGAGAGAGAGAAAGCGGAAAATGGAATAAGAAATGAGAAGAGGGAAGTTCAGATGGCGATGTTAGTCAAGTTGTTTCGCGCATGCGTTCTTCGTTTGGATACATTCATCAGAAGCGCCGACACGTCTGACAGAGACAGAAGAGCGACAGAGAGTCGCATTGCTGTATTTGCTCCAGTGGCGAGTGGCCTGCCAGTGGCCGTCACTCCGTTAGTTAGGCGCGGTAAACGGTTTAGTCAGTGGTGTGTTTGTTATCAATTGTAAGCGCGACGTGATCGCCAGTGATCGCGTGGGATAGTCGGTAGTTCACGTGAACAACAGTCGTTACTGGCAGATGCTCTGGTGTGACGTTTTCCTATAATCAGCTAATAATGACGGTGACAATAAACGCGGATTTGCGGCGCGAGCGCGAGAGATGCAGCTTCGATCCTATGGAGCTCACGAATTTCTGGGATGGCAGTAAGGCGAAAACATCGCATCGGCATGAGTTAGGTTCGTCGTCTCGTTTAATCTCGCTGATTAATTCGCACGCATTGCTCGTGTGCATGTAATGTGTGTGTGTGTGTGTGTGTGTGTGTGTGTGTGCGCGTGCGCGCGTGTGTGTGTACACACACACACATTACATGACGTAATATCTTCGTCTTTTCTTATCATTGCGAGAATTGCTATGAAATGTTAACGCCCAATCGCTGAGTTATTATAATTATTTCTATTTATCAGCTACGTATATACTTACTTTTTGCGATAAAGCACTAAAACTTACACATTACATCCTGTTTCGCGACTATAACTTATCTTACACAAGTTCGATTTATATTACATTTATTCTTGGATTTATTTGTGATTTGTTGCAGCACATTCTGAACACTTGTTATTTTCTATAGAGAAAAGGAAATAAGAAAGATAAATACAACTTAATTGTAAATGGAAATGGGAAAAGGAATTGTATCGCAAATTGCAAGGAGTAATACTTTTAAAACGCGAATGACTACATAATGTTTATAACGAATAGAAAGGTTTACAACTTTCTATGATATTTTCTAGGAAATGCATTGAGAAATAGTACAGGTAAAAGTGTGAAAGGCGCGAAAGTTTATACTTTATTACTGAGTACTCTTTTGATTTCTCGTAATCGACCACACGAATGAATTATTCTTTTTTTTTTTTGCGTAATAATATTATTCTTAATAATATTAATGTTGAACGGTAATTGCGATCGAGTTAAACTTAGTATGCGCGTGTGTGAATAAATGAAAGAGATGGAATCGGATTTCATCCTTTAGCGATCTTCCCCTTTTCCCGTTGGCTCTGAGTAAGCTCACCACGTGTGTAAAGATAGGAGATATAAATTAGGATAGTTAATAGGATTTAGGTAAGATCTTTCCTTTATATTGCTATATGAAATTACTGTTCTAAAACTTGTTATCAAATTGCATATAAATACTGATTTTATCATATCTCGGAGTTTGTAAAATGTTCATTCTTGAGTTTATTGTTTGTCTGATCAAACATTGTATGTATTAATAAAATCTTTATTTACTTTGAATATACAAAACTACAATGTTAATTCATTACATAGATAAGTTTGATGTAAATTTAATAACAATTAATAACAGTTTTCGTAATATACCGATTTTAATATACCGTAATTGATTTATAAACAATTATTTTTATTGATACCGCATATGGTGTCATAAATGTTTGCCCAACAATCATGTATATAATATATTCAAATATATTTAATTTTATAAATATATATGGTCCATTTTAAATGATGATCTCAAATATCTCTTGAAAAATGGATTTTGAAGAAAAATATTTTATATAAAAGTTGTCTATAATCTGAGAAGTTGTAAATAAAAATAAAATTAATATTTGAAAGAATGAATTTTTTAAGATTATATAAAAATTATTGCCATTGTTTAAAATAAAATAATTTTTTTACATAATGTGATTCATCTATATGTAGTTATTCTAAATATAAAATTATTAAGGTAGAGGTATATATATTGTATATATTTCATGTTAATAAACTTGCTTGAAGTCAAAGTAACGTTGGTACAATCAGGCCTTGACAATTTATTTTGTATGACTTAGCATTTGTTTTTTATCAGAGTTTTTCAACTCATAAATATTTGAATATTGAAAAATCATAAATATTTATTTTTGCAAACATCGTAGATATGATGAACAGTAAATTAATAAGAAAACATTTAATTATATTAGTAACATATGCTTTAACATTTAATTATTGCGTCATTACTTCGTTATCAACAAGAACTTTCTTTTTCGCCGTTCTATATCTTCCAACAATTATCTTGTCCTTTATAATTTTATTCACTTGTTTTATAATATTAATACATTTGCAAATTTTTGCACGTGTCACAATTAAAGCTGGGATATAAAAATGCATATTTTATATTATATATAAATATATAATATATAGATATGGTATCATAAAATGCATATCTACACGGATTACGTAAAATCAAAGTGTTAAAATCTTTTTATTTTGCATATTTTGCATATATGTATCTTTTTGAATATTTTTTATAAAATTACGTATTTGCTCATATTATAGTCATTAATATTACGGTCTTGCATATATATATATATATATATATATATACACATACACACACACACCTTAGTCTCATTATAAAATATAATTATAAATATAAGTAAATAAGAAATTCAGTTTTCATTTGTTTATTCTATTTTTAATATTGAATCTTTCCGCTGTACTTTATTTGATGGACTTTAGTATTACATCTTTTAACAATACACACATACACACTACACATCTTATATTTTTTTTTATCATTTATGTCGAGGTAAACGTGCATAACTGTTTTTAATTTAACTTATAATTGTTTTTGTATTGTTTCAGTTGTAATCAAAAGTTATTTATTAGCTTACCGATTAACGATTAATTCATTTTCAGACATATTCGAGTTCAGTGGAATATAAAATTATTTTAATATTGTATTAAAAAGAAAAATATATATATACATAGAGGAAAGGCCTCTATTATGAGATACCGAGTTCATTTTGGGAAAATGCTAGAAGTCTATAAGCAGAATTTAAAAAAATAATAGGTCATTTTGAAGGGAATTTAATAAGCTTTAAGATAACGTTTGTTATATAAAATTTAATTCAAATTCCATTTTTTTTTTAAATAAAAAAAATATAAGAAGTGAGCAAATCGTAAAGTTAAAAAATTGCGCTCTTAATATGAGATGCCCCGAGAAATCGATAATAAAACGCAAAGTATAGTCAGTATTGCAATTAAAAAATTTTATTTAATGTTTCTAAAAAAACGAACAAACACAGCCAGCGTGCGCGAAAAGTAAACATGCGATAGATTGTACTCAGAACTCGTCTTCAGTTAGTTGGAATCAAGCATCGCAGAAATAGACACTCGACGTCCATTCCGGTTGTCTTTTTTATTATTGTACAATAACATTTATACTTTAGCAACGGTTTTCATTATAACATAGGAGCATAGGTTATTTTATATTAGAAATACCCTGGGTATCTCATATTACGATTTCCACGCCTTATGGTTTTACGATCATCAAATCTAACTTCTGCAATTAAAGAACTGGATACGAGCAATAGGAATTAAGCGCGGAAGACGTCGCGCAAATAATATATCTATGAAGTGTGAAACTTCTTTATTCACTAAAACGTGCTTACATGTTTCGGCTCACTTTTGAGCCCTCCTTAGAGATAACACAAATTAACGTAATAAACTGTGAATAAAAATTATCCTATCATGGTGAGCTCCTCTACCTCGAGAATTTAAACGTCAAAAAAAGTGAAAGAAAAAAAATGAAAAAAGAAAATAATGGAAATATCGAAATAAAGAATATGAAACCAATTTATCAAAAACCTTAAGATTGAAAGAAAATGAAAGTTGGAAAGTAATAAAAAATCACGCCAGAAAGACTCATTATTGCGTACGAACGACACTGACTCAGTCTTTCATTTTCATAGAATTGATTAACATTTCAACGCAAATTTTTTATTTGTAAGCTTTAATAATACTAGCTAAAACTAAAAGTGACTCTGTCTGATACTGACTGGCTAAAATATCGAGAACCGGTTTTTGAATAATTTATAGTGATGATTTGAATAATTCATAGTGATAATTTGCGATATATAATAGTTTGTGATTTGTGATCAGAGTGAGCGTCCTTATTTTCGGGATAATTAATTATAATCTTAAGGTTTTTGATAAATTGGTTTTTCATATTCTCTATTTCCAATATTTCCCCTTTTTCGTTCTTTTTCTTTTTTCTTTTTCTTTCACTTTGTTTTGGCGTTTAAATTCTCGAGATAGGGGAGCTCACCATGGTAGGATAATTTTTATTCACAGTTTATTATGTTAATTTGTGTTATCTCTGAGGAGAGCTCAAAAGTGAGCCGAAACATGTAAGCGCGTTTTAGTGAATAAAGAAGTTTCACACTTCATAAATATGTTATTTGCCCGATGTTTTCTGCGCTTGACTCCTACTGCCCGTATCCTTTCTAGCTCTTTAATTTATAAGGAGTCTTGATTAGTTTGTTCTGTAATTAAACAATTCAACATATCCCGTGTT